ATAATACTATATTGAGAGTTGTACCTGTTCTAGGAGAGAGGCAGATAAAGTGCCACAAAACTTAAAGAAGGGAGAGGGAGCTTCTGACTGAGTCGATCAAGGGATAAAGAAAATTTTGAAATGGGAAGAAGAGAGAAAGGAAATTCTGGGCAGAGGAAGCAGCATAAACAACGGCACAAGATGGGAAACGAAGGGCAATGTTCAGGGAAAAGCAGGTAGGTCCAGTTTGGGGCCAACAGTACATTCATGGGAGAAACAGGAAACAAGATAAAAGACAAGTGAGGGTCTACTCATAGAAGGTCGTTAAAGGTAGACATTTACATGATGCTTTAGAGTGTACAAGATCCTATGAGACAGCTGTTATCTTCACATTACAAAGGAGAAAATTGAGGTTCAGAGTTGGCAAAGTTACTGGCCCAGGGTCATGCAGCTAGCAAGTTTCAGATTTTATTAATTTATTCGAAAGATATTTATTAGCCCTGAATGGTTTGGCTCAGCGGTTAGAGCGTCAGCCTGCAGTCCAGAGAGACCCGGGTTCGGTTCCCGCTAAGGGCATGTACCTCAGTTACAGTTTGTCCCCGGCCCCAGTTGGAGTTGTGCGGGAGGCAGCCACTCGATGTGTCCCTTTCACAACCCCCCCCCCCCATCTGAACAAAAGTGGAAAAGCGTCCTCAGGTGAGGATAAAAAAAAAAAAAGATATTCATTAGTGCAGGTACTGTGCCCAGTACTGAAGACAACCATGACCCAGACATAGTCATGGCCTCACGGCACCACCAGTCCAGGCAGGAAAGACACCCATCATTCCAGTCAAGTGCGCGTGTGCGTCAGTGGAAGAAGTGCAAGGTGCGCTGAGCCTGGCAGCCCAGGGGCCCACCTGGGGGCAGGGAAGGCCTCGAGGATGAAGTTCGGTTAAGTCTAGAACTGAAAGATGACAGGAGGTAGCTTGGTACTGAAGGGGGGGGGGGCATAGGATAGCGAACAATAGTCCAAGCAGACATTCTAAACATGTGTGAAGGCCCCAAGGAGAGAGAAAATGTGGCCTCTTCCAGACAATGAAGAGTTTAAAGAACAGAATCAAGAAAGCAAAAGCCACCGAGACTAGTAGACACCAGATTCTGATGGCAGAGGGGCAGCCATTGAGTTTTTAAGTAAGAGGTGGGTGGCGGTAGGAGGGGCGACAGGGTTAGATTTAGGCATCAAAAGAACAGTGAAGCTGCAGAGACAGTTAGGATTAGATAGGGTAGGATGGGGGCCGGTGTGAAGGTGTTTGGAACTCAAACCCCAGCCTACTTAATCCAAAGATGGTGGCCCCATCACTTTCTATCTACTCTTTCTCGGGAAGCTTCAAAGGGGGTGAATGACACTGGCAGATCTATGTATTGGAAAGATTAGCCTGGAGCTGCATGGAGGAGTCAACGATGATTCATTCATTCTTTTTCTATTCATTCAATAAATATTTGTGGAGTGTCTACTATGTGCTAGGCACTATGTGGTCGTTTTAGTCCTAGAGATAGAAAGGATGGTGTGTTATTAACAGAGCTGCAAAGACATTTTTAAAGTCCCTTGTCTAATATTCTTTTAAGACTCAATTTGAAAGCCCTCATCCAAAAAGCTTTCTTTCCCTGTTTCTGCCCTTCCGACGCCATTTAAAATGTTCCTTATATAGACACTTAGTCTGGTCCGTGAAATCACACAGCCCTGCTGCTATTATTTCAGAATCATTCACTAATTGCTGCCCACGTGTCTTACCTAGAGTGTTCCTCAGGACTTTCACCTGCATTGTTTTTAAGATCTGCAGTACCTAATGCAGTCCTGGACACACAACAAATGTTTAGCTAAGAGGGCTGGGTGATTGGATGAGTGAATGAATGAGAACAATCTTTAAATGTTTGCGGCTATGTAACATTTTATCATTCTCCTCATCAGCCTTTGAAGGCACTAGTTACATACTTTTTAACTGACAACTTTAAAAAATCAGCCCTACCCCTGGTCAGTATGGCTCAGTGGTTGAGCATCGACCCGTGCACCAGGAGATCTCCGGTTCGATTCCGGGTCAAAGCACATGCCTGGGTTGTGGGCTCAGTCCCCAGTAGGGAGTGTGCAGGAGGCAGCCAATCAATATTTCTCTCTCACGTCAGTGTTTCCATCTCTCTCGCCCTTCCTCTCTCTCTAAAAAATAAATTTTTTTCCTTAAAAATCATCCCTATACATACCATATCATCCTCTAGTCATTATAAATTCTTGATTCTTATAACATGCATAAGATTATAAACATCACAGTAGTCAGTGTTGCAAAGTAATTCAAGAGAGAAATAGATCTGTATGTATGATATTTTTAAAACACCTGCTATGTCCGACTGGTGTGGCTCAGTGGTTGAGCATCCATCCATGCACCAAGAGGTCTCCAGTTCAATTCTCAGTCAGGGCACATGCCCAGGTTGTGGGCCTGATCCCCAGTGGGGGGCATGCAGGAGGCGGCCAATCGATGTTCTCTCTCATTGATGTTTCTATCTCTCTCTCCTTCTACTTCCTCTCTCTCTAAAATCAATAAAGAAAAACAAAAAACAAAAACACCTGCTAAATGTAAAATATGCTTTGTGGCTGCCGACAAGCACCAGGGGAAAGGAGACATGTGTTAAACACGTCATGTGTGCCAGTGAATGTGTCAGAGTTGTATTTGTATGGTTTCATCTTTAAGTTTCACAGCAAAGCAGTAGAATACATGCAGGAATTCTTACTGTTCAAAATGTTTCCTTGCCTACTGGATGTAACTTGATCGAGCAGGGAGCACATTTTGCATCATACAGATGTCAATCGGTCATTACCCAATTGTGATCGGGGAACTAGCACCTCACCTTTAAAAGGCTGGTATCCCAGGGGCGAGCACTGATCAGCAGCTTTGTTTCAGCAGCTGGTTTAACTCACTTGCCTTATGTTCTCTTGTTAACGTTTGTACTTATGAGCTATGTTGCTGTTTATGGTCTAGAAACCTGTAGCTTTTGCTCTGGTTTTATGCTTTGGTATAATTTGATGACTCTTAGGTTTGTTTCTGTTCTGTTTTGGTCCCTCAATTCATGATTCTTGGCAAAAACAAAATATACTTGTATTAGTTCCCTAGGTTTGCCATAATAAATTGCTGTAATTTTGGTGGCTTAAACTCAAACAACAACAACTCATTTTCTCACAGTTTTGAAACCAGAAGTCCAAAATCAACCAGAAGTTGGCAGAATTGGCTCCTCCTGAAGGCTCTGAGGGAGAATCGGTTTCATACCTCTCTCCTAGCTTCTGGTCAGGATCCTTGGCTTGTACCTGCATCACTCCAATCTCTGCCTCCATCTTCACGAGGCCTTCTCCTCTGTGTCTGTATGTCTCTTCCCCTTCCGTTGATAGAAAGACGTGCCATTAGATTTAAGGCCCATCCTGTTCCTCCAGGATGATCTCATCTCCAGATCCTTAACTCAATTACATCTGCAAAACTCTGCTTTCTAAATAAGGTCACATTCACAGGTTCTGGGTGGGCATGTCCTTTGGGGTAGGTGGGGGTGGGGGGTAGGCACCATTCTACTCACTACAATACTTCTAGCTCTTCTTTTTTTTTTTTAACACAAACTTTAATACTGAAAATCTCACAAGAAAAAAGAAAATAATTATTATTACAAGTCTGAGATTTTCTAGCTCCTAACCTCGTTTTTCCATCCACACAATTGCTTTGTAATAAAACTTTCATTAGAAATACATAATGCATATAAATGAATAAACAACCCAAGCTTTCTTAGGATTTCAAACAAGTTGTATAAAGAGTTAATACCTGTAAAGCACTCAAAATGATGTCTGACACACAGAATGCACTATACAACTTTGGCGAATAATAAAATTAGAGTGTGTTACAGAAGAGCAGAGTGTGTGATTGTCCCGTTTTACAGATGGAGTAATAAGAAGCTTGGTGAGGGTCAGTTACTAGCCCCCATAGTGAGAGGCCATGATTCAAACTCACACTGTCTGCCTCCAAGTCCCACGTTCTTCCACTGCACCAGGTATCCTTGGGGGAAGCTGGGAGGAAGTGGGCTGAAAGGCACCATGGCTCTGACCCTGAACCTTGGTCAGGGTTGGTCCACCAGAGAAGGGAATTCACCAGGGAAGGGCCTGGAGCCAAGTCCAGAAGTCAGTTACCATGAGATTGGTCTGATATTCACTGAGACACAAAAGTCTGAGAGAAAAATATAAGCAAACTGTGGGGCTAGTAGAATAAAAAATGGATTAAATGCAAAATAGAGAAACTGGGGAGGCATGGTAGTTGCTGGCAAAGTGGGATTAGGGGAAAATAGAGAATGGCGTGAGTTGTTGGGCAGGTGAGTGTTCTAAGCCATCTAGTAGCTGAGGTCTTAAAGGGCCAGGCCTCCTTGCAGGGCACACTTGCTAACATCTTCTTCGTAAAGGCTCAGTGAAGAGACACCCAACTGTGTCTGAGGTACAGAAGAGGTGCTATTTCTCACTAGCCCCACAATACAACATACAAGGATGAAAACAGAAGGGAAAGAAATCAGATAGATTTTGTTTTAGAGAGAAATGCCAAAGGTAGGTCTCTGAAGCAGGCACCACCTAGGTGAAAAGTTATCCGTGTTCTATTGTTTATAATGACGTGATCTCTTCTACTTCTCTAAAATTTCCAAACTTTCTGGGCATAACGTACCCTCATTTTATAGTAGAAAGACAACAACTATTGAAAAGGCACTCTACGGAAAAAAGGGAACATTCTTTGTAGACCACACACTCTGATAGGGACTCGCTGTTTCAGCTGAGAACTAACAGAGGTCAAAGAAAGAATGGGAAAAACATGTAGAAACATCGAGATAAATAATAATAGTAATAAAGAGTCCGTGGCATTTTAGAAGGGTGACTATATCTGTTATGTTAAGAACTTTCATTAGGAAAAGAAGGGTATTAAATGGAATGATGAAGGAGAGGAGCAGCTCAATGAATACATTGAATGAGTATTTATTGGAGAAGACAATGGGGAAATTCCTGTTCCAAGGACACATTTTATGGCAAAGCAGAGAACGGCCTTGACAGAGATTCTTCAGTCTCTGAGGAGAAAGGGATGGAGCAACTTGAGGGACTCTGTGCAATAAATCACCAGGACCAGATGGTATTCATCCATGGGTTCTGAAGGAGATAAAGTGGGAAATCATGAGTTCAGTGACAAGGATATATCATAGATGCTTGGAAACAGACAATATCCCCAAAGATCATGAAATCATTAATATGATGTCCCATATGTATGGGGGGGGGCGGTTATGCGTGCACATGTGTGCATGTGTACATGCTCCTTGAATGTTCTGGGGTGTTTGGGAGGGGTGGAGGGAGATTTTCTTTTTTTCAAGAACCAAGAAATATTCCTTGATGAAACAAAGAACAGGGGATATTTAGGCAAGAGAAAGAGCATGAAAAGAAACAAGACCAAATTTTAAGGTGTTTAATGATATTTAAGCAGTTATTTTCCGGGTTCTCTGAGAGGTGCTAGGGATGTGGAGATAGATAAGCATGCCCTCTTGCTAATGGGAAGGCTTACAGCCTAATGGTTTCAGTTATTCTAATGGTCTTGCTATTGCTTTGGATGACAATTGGCAAGGTAGCATCTTCAAATACTACCAGAGGATACAAGAAACACCTGGTAATTTTGTTCATCCTTAAAAAATTATAACGTTTCAGGTTGTTGGGCAAAAGGTGGGGCCTGAAAGCAGGGATAGAGTTTCACCTTCATCTCAGAGGAGCCCAATTCTATGTCTTAAGAGTTATTTAGTAATAATAATAATAATGAAGCAGCTAACATTTCTTGAGTGCTTACTATGTGCCAAGATCCTGCTCAGTTCCTTACCTGTATTATCTAATTTAATTCTCATCACATTAAGTGGTAGACCTAAAATTTTAATCTTTGTAGTCCTGTTCCAAGGTCCATGCTTTTAGCCATTACTCTATACTGACCATATAGACGTTTTATTTATAAAAAGAGAAAAAATGTTTCACAAAACAACTTCTGCCCTTGTTACATGTGATTCTCTTCTGTTTCATGAAAGGGATGAGTATCCCAGATCCACCAAATTGATTTCAGCCCCCGTCCCCTCGTAGGTCAGAGTCTATAGTTTCTTTAAAGAAATGAGTAAATAAATAAATAACCACGTTCTCTTTGATTTGAGAAAGTCTAAAGCTAAATGAAAGCTCTGGTATTAAAATCGTAACACACTGATAAAGGTGAGTCAGAATTAAATTGTCTTAGACCACTTCAAGATGCTTTTTACCATGGGGACAGGCACAGTTCTTCTCCTCACTGTCTCATGCTTCTCCCTTAGTGCCAGGTAGAACCAAGTCCTCTGGCTGTTTTCATTGGGAAAGAGCCCTAAAAGTTAAAAAAATCATTACTTATGTTGATCTGAAATCTGACCACCTGAAACATCTACCTACTGAATCTAGTTATACCCGCTGGGGACACACAGAATATTCAAGTAATTCTTCTACCCAACATCCTTCAAATATTTGGAATGCAGACATGTTCCTCCTGGATGTTTTACTCTTCAGAATAAACATTTCCTGGTCCTTCAACCATGTGCGGATAGAGACAGAAAATCCAATCCAAACTGGCTTCAGCAAAAAGAGGTTTCATCAGCTCAAACAGTAGAAAAAGCCAAGAACGGTTCTAGCTCCTGGCGCAGTTTGATACAGGGCCAAAGGAATGTCACCAGAATAGACTTTCTATGTCTCTCAGCATTGCTCTTCCATGTTGGTTTTCAGTGCCCCTTATAATCTAGCTGAGGCAGCCCAGACCTTACATCGTCTCATGAATAAAGTACAGCAAGGGAAAAATGAGTTTCTTTCCCAGAAGTTTCAGGAAAAATTATCTTCCATCTCATTGGCTCTGGCTGGGCCACGTGCTCAATCTCCCAGCTATCACTGGGGCCAATGGCATTGATTAGCCAAGCTTAAGCCACATGCCTACCTCTGGAGCTGTATGGACTGAGAGAGTAGAGGGGGTGATCTTGAACAGGGAGATTGTTAAACATAGGCTGGGTACTAAAAAGTGTCTATTAGAGACTGTTGTTCCCATTTCATAGTTCCAAATCACTTTATCAAAGTGGCCTACTGAACACCATGACACAGACCACTTTGCCTCGGAACTTCTCACACGTCATGGGGAGAGGGATTGGAGCTAGGCCAGAATGCCACAGTCATGTCTCCTCAGACACCACGGGGATGCTTCAGTGAAATAGTAACTCCTACTTGGTCTTCAGGTGTCACCTCCTCTGTGTAGCTTTTCCTGTATCCTTCAGGCAGAATGAGCCACTTCCTTCACAGAGCTCCTATTGGCACGAAAACTATGCTGCAGTTATTTGTGTTGCAGGCTTATGTTTCTCCTGACAGTGAGTTCCTTGGAGATAGGGATTTTTTAAATATACATTTCTGTGTCCTTTGCACCTAGAACAATGCCTGATAAAGAAGGCATACAATGTCCGCTATTTGAATGAATTATCCTGAGATAGTGGAAGAGGATCCTCCATAGCAACTCTGTGAGATGAGATCACCTGTATCTTAGTCCGTGTGGGCTTAAGTATCCACACCCATAAAATCACTGGGGAAAAGAAGTTTCATGTTCTCCTATACACTGAGGCACAGGTGGTAATAAACCAAAACTGAGTATTAGGCATAGACAGTCCAGGAAGTAGTAGGCATAGACAGTCCAGGATAATAAACAAACTATTATCAGAAATTGCGACAGTGATTACAGATTTAGGCAGCTAAGTGAAAAAGAGTCACAAATGTTAGAGATTACAGTCAATGAGAACTCAGTTGCTTGCGGAATTAGTAGGTACTGAGCTAAGGACTAACTCGGTTTACTCTGTTACTTTTTAAATGGCCAGGGGTGCCAAGAAAGGGCAGAAGGGTAGCAATAAGTCTGCAGAAAACTGGCCTTGACTACGGCCAATACAATATCTGATTTCCTACCCTCAGTTGAGGTGGGAAGAAGAGATTCAACAACAGGTATTTCCTAAGCACCCCACGCCAGGTATAGACGAATGAAACAACACAGTCCCCCATCTCGAGCCTCACACACTGTTGGCCAGAGCTGCAAGAATTACTCTACCCTGTCTCACATATGTAAGACTGAGGCAATACTTACAAAATGCCTTAAACTCAGATAAACGTTATATAAATGAAAACACATTTAACTGAGAAAATTGTTGTGTTTATTAACCTTTCAAAGCACCAATGTTATGTTAGCGGGATGCACATGATACCAGTGTGATTCCTTTGCCTCAAATAGGAGTCAGGTAAACACGAGAACAGAAGCTCTCTGTAATCCGAGACCCACGCCCATGGCATTGTCACTGGCTGCTCACTGCTCGCCCCCTGTAGGAATCCATCAGCACCACGCCCCAGCCACACGTTGTGCCCCATCACACTTTGTGCCCCATCACACTGAGTGTGGCAGGGATACGAGATAGCCAAGAATGATGCTGATGCTTTTCTTTCTGCCTCTTGAAGATAATCATTATTCCTACAATGACAATTTGTAAGCGCAACCTAATTACAGCCAAATTGATTAAGAGTTGCATAATCTAAGGATTAGCATTCAGGCAAATGCTACTTAATTTAGCCACCAAGGACTCGGGAGGAAACAGCTGTGTGATTCAGGAAGTTGTTTAGAGTGAAAGGGCGATTTTTGCCAGTAAAATCCAGCCTTAGTAAATTACTTAGCCTTGTCGCTTTCTTCTTTGAATTCCCAAGCTTGAAACTTTCTGGGATCAAATAATCCAAAGGCACAGTTCCTGTGTCTGGGAGGAAGGCGACAGTATTCTAGGCATCGGAGACAGTCTTGGGCTCTACCCCTTCCTGACAAGGAAGGAGCCCGAATTCTCTTAACCATAGATGTCTTAGCCACGAAATAGGGATGATAAGCAATACCTCACAGGGCTGTTGTGGGGAATAAATGAGCAACCACACATGCAGTTTCCAACCCAGGACTTGGGAACTTAGGGGTTTTAAATCAGTGTCTGTTCCTTTCCCTCCTTCCCTTGTCTTCTAGAACCTTTTATAAACTTTTAAAGCTCTGTTGTTTTTTTAGCCACTAAACTGCTTAAGGTAAGTAAATGAATGAGGTATTCATTTTAAAAGAGGAAAATTTTTTCTTTCATTATATTTTACAACATATAAGTACCATTACCAAAAAGCCTAAGAATGATGGTGAGAAAAGAAAGCAAGGTATTTGTGTGGGCTCTCCACGTAAGTTAAAAGGCCATTCTTTTATCGTTGGTCAATAAGAGAGAAAAGGGGGAACTGGGGCAGACAAAAATTTGGGGTACCTAGTATGTGATAGACAGTTGATTGGCATATTGCACACATTATTTCATTCAGCAGCATCTTGGTATTCTATGACGTCTCAGCTCTGCTCCCTACTAGCTGTGTGTGACCTTGGGCAAGTTGCTTGATCTTCCTGTGCTTTAGTTTCAACATCTGTAAAGTGAGAAAAATTATAGCACTTACCTCTTAGGATGGTTAGAATTAGAACAGTGCCTGGCACATGGTGAGTATTCAATAAATGTTAGTTGTTGTTTAAAAATCATAGTAAGAACAAGTGTAACAATAATATTTCAAAACCCTTAACATCAAGTGTGGCACATAGTAGTTGGTCAATAATGCTACCTATTACTACTTAGATAATAGAAGTAAAATATGATTTTAAAAGGTATTCTCGTTCGTCAAGTTTATTCTACGTAGGAGCTGCCTCTATGTTAAGCAGAAATACATGAGCGTCCACTCTGACTTTATTTTTACAGATTATCAAACCAGAAGATAACAAATGTCTTGCCCGCTTCATACTACATCTCTTTTGGAGTCCATCATGAGTTGGATAAATGTTCTGATATCAGGCCATTAGGCAGAATTTCTAAGGATAGCAATGCTTAAGTTCCCTCTGTGTTTTTTTAATCCTCACCCGAGGGTATTTTTCCATTGATTTTTCTTTTTAGAGAGAGAGGAAGGGAGTGAGACAGAGAGAGAGAGACATAAATGTGACCAGGGGTCAAACACAAAACCTAGGTATGTGCCCTGACTGGGAATCGAACCCGAAACCTTTCGGTGTAAGGGACAGTGCTCCAACCAACCGGGCCACGAGGCCAGGGCCCCTCTGTGCTCTTACCTTCATTTACTGCCATAAAACATCCAGTCAGTGCCGAACGCCTCCAGGATGGCGTGGCCACTCTTTCAGCGCAAAGACTCAGCAAAGCAAACAACGTGTGAAGCGCCAGCCTCACGTGCCTCGTCTCAGGTTCACTAAGTGCCTTGGCTTCTCTGTACCCGAACTGATCTCCACCAGCCCACAGGACACATTCAGTCGTGGTCCCTGATGGAATGAAGGATGTTAATCTGCAAAACCATGTATGTGCCAAGGAAAACTGTGTGCTATTCAGGCTTGGGCTCACTGCAAATATTTACTCTTTAGTCATTTCTGCTGGTAACTTTAATTAGAGAAGAATACATGTCTCTTAAATAATTTTCAAAATGTGACAGCAGAAAGAGTTCAAGGTTACCACGTAAATAAATACAAAAGCAGTAAGTCTCATGGCCTTGATGATGTAAAAGGAATAGGACTGCCTGGATACTTAGAAAAACACTAAGCATGGAGGCTTGATTCCGAATGGACTTTCACACTCTCCTGTAAGTAACTCGCCCAACAATCAAGGTGCTTGCACTCCTGGGTGCTGTGAAGAATACAAAACAAGCTAGATTTCTTCTTTGCCTTCAAAGGGCGTATAATACAGTTGTAGAAGGAAAAGAAACCTGAGAAGGTTCAGAATATTTCATGGCTAAACTGGTGGTACTGAGAAAGCACCTCTGTAATTCTGAGCAATGAATAATGACTTTGAGCTAGATTTTAAAAGTACATAATAAAAAGTTGGAGTTCTCAAAGTACAAAAATACTGTAAAATTCACTTTAACCAGGTTAATAACTTCCCCCCACATTTATAATTTTATACATATTTCATGCAGTCTGTAGAATAATTTAGCTATGCTATACTATATCCTATATTCTTATGAATACTATTAAAAAATACATATTCACATGAGCCACAAAGCTGTAATTCAACATTTCAACACCTATGGCTTTAAAAAAATTATGGAATTTTAGAGTGGATTCTCATCATTTCTGAACTCAAATAGAGCCAAACTCTTCTATTTCCTTTTCCAGAAAGTTAAGAAACACCTAAAACATTAAAAATATGATTAATAATTTAGTTCTTTAGATTATTCACCTTGTCTGAATTACCCAGCTTCCCTTCTTTCTAATGGAGAGCCGCCTGGCTTCTGGCCTTTACATATAAAGCATTTGTCATGTAGCAAGTGTCCAGCAGCTCTTACTGCTACGGCTGCTTTTGTTAGTACTGTTATTACTATTGCTACTTCTGCTACTGTTGTTACTGTTACTACTATTACTGCTGTTACAATTAGTGCTGCTGAAATGTGCCCTTTGTGAAACCTTTCTCTCCCTCCCTGCCCCATTCAAAACAAATTGTTTATTACACTCTTTTACTAGCTATATGATCTTGAACAAGTTATTAAACTTTTTCACAGTAAGTTCCTCACGTACAATGGAAACAATGGAGTATATATAGTACCAAGAATGCTTGTAAAGATTAAACATGATTATGCATATTAAATGCTTCATGTAGCCTGGCTGGTGTGGTTTATTGGTTGAGTGTCATCTCATGCACCAAGAGGTCACTGGTCTTATTCCTGGTCAGGGCACATGCCCGGGTGGCAGGATTGATCCCCAGTAGGGGGCATGAAGGAGGCAGCTGATCGATGTATCTCTCTCATCAATGTTTCTGTCTGTCTCTCCCTCTCCTTTCCTCTCTCTAAAATCAATAAAAAACATATTTTTTAAAAAATGCATCGTGTATTGTCTACAGTAGGAATTCTCAAACTTTTTAGTTTCAGGCAGGACCCTTTTATTGTCTTAAAATATCTTTTTTTTTCTTTATTGATTTTAGGGAGAGGGAGAGAGAGAGATAAACATCGATGAGAGAGAACATCAACTGGCCACCTCCTACATACTCTCTCCTGGGGATCAGGCCGACAACCTGGGCATGTGCCCTGATCAGGAATCAAACCGGTGACCTCTTGGTGCATGGGTCAACGCTCAACCACTGAGCCCCACCAGCCAGGCTAAAAATATCTTTTAAGAGCTTTTGTGTATGTGGGTTGTAGCTATAAATATTTATGATATTCAAAGGTAAAACTGAGAATTTTCTGTTTGTTAACTTATTTAAAAATAATAATAATAAACTTTGTTAAATGTTACATGAATTACATGTTAATGCAAATAATACATTTTATGGGGGTAACCTATATTCTCTCACTGAAGTAGTGAGAAGAGTGACCTTATTTTCTATTTATATAAATCTCTTTAATATCTATTGCTGTATGTTGTTTTTATTTAAGTATACAAAGAAAATCTGGCCTCACACAGACATGTAGTTGGAAAAGAGACGAGTATTTAAAAGTCTTTTCAGATAACTGTGGATATTTTTCTCTGATACTCTACCAATCTGACAAGTAGTAGTTAGGTTAGTTGAGATGCAGAATCTTAAATGACATCAATAAACTTTTCATGCTCTGTGGCATTAAAATACACTGGTCTATCCTATATTTTGAATGGGTCTTCTTTTCCCACATGATTTTACAACATCATGCATTGGTCATTTGCAAAGCATTGGTTCACTGAGTTATGCAAATCTCCATAACATTGACACATTTCATTACACGATATGAAAAAAATCACATTCATTAATAGCACCACAATTTCACTAGAAAGTCTTTAGTTTTGGGGAAGCTGACAAGTTCACAGTCCAGACACACAAATCTTCCAAAATTCTAATTTTCCCATGAAAGTTCAAATTTTATCATTGGCAACAAATATTGTCAGTTGTTTTTCCTTGAAGTGACAGGCTCACTTCATTCATTTTTGAGACAATGTCTGCCAAATACTATTTTTGAATAGATGTTGTTTCCCTGTCAGTTGTTCTTTCAAGTAAAAATGGTGTTCCAAGGGGACCATGTGGCTACTCACTCACACAAGACAACCGTCATGCTTTGGTGTGCATCGGAAGTGCTTTACATTTATTTCCCTTTTTGTCACATACAATATTGAATAGGCGTGAACTCAAGGGTCTGGATTTAATAAAATAATTTGTATTGCTTCATCAAGGCATTCGTCGGTGAAACGAGCATTGGCTTTCCATGGCAACGATAAACACGATGATACATTGGTGGCAGGTTTTGGTGTGACTACTTTGATTCATGTTAAGACACCAACAGTTTTACCCACTACTGCTTTTGCACCATTGGTACAAATGCCAACCCAGGAAAATAAGCAAATAATGTCTTAGTATTATTGTGAATACTGTTTTGACCTTGTAGACCTCCTGAAAAAGTCTCAGGGACCCCAAAGAACCATCAACTACACATTGAGAAGTGGTTATCAGCAGTACAGTATATGCTTTATAAATGTTAACTATTGTTATGATTAGCTATAGGAACTATATTTTTTAAATTAAAACTCTGGATTATAATATCTCCCATGATCTATATGCATGTGAATAGGTGCAGAAATGGAGACTGCCCCCTCCATATCATTTTTGTTCTTTTTTCGTTTTGCCTCATACTGTAGTCAGATGTATGCCCAACCACCAGACATTAAGACCCCGCGGACAGTGATAATACTTTACCTAATCCAGTATTTCAGTACCAGCACAGTGCTTTATACAGAGCAAGTGCTTAATAAATACTTGTTGAACAAATGATAAATGAACAAACTCAAATGAGTCCAACCTAGGCTCTCAGCCACTGTGGTGGATGACAGAGGTTGAAGTGGTAGATAGTTTATTTTTGTTCACTTTTTAGGTAGGCATTTCAACTATAGCACTCTTGTGTAGAAAATTAAATGTGTGTGATAATCAGCCAAGATTACCTTTCATAGGGAAATAACATTGACTTTTTCCTTATTAAGTGGAGAATAGATGTTAATTGTAGAAAATACAGACCACAAAAAAGAAAAAAGATGAAACAAGCCAAGCAGAGAAAGATAAATATCACATGATCTCACTTATTTGTGGAATATAATGAACTAAACAAACTGATGAACAAAATCAACCCAGAGACATAGAGGTGGGGTACAGTCTGATAAGCCTCAGAGGAGGGAGGTTGGGGGGGAGAGATAACCGCAGAACTTACATGCATGTATGCATGACCAGTGGACATAGACAACAAAGCTGGGGATGAGGCGGAGGCAGGGGAAGGTGAGAAAGGTTTCAGTGGGGGAAAAATGAGAAACATCTGTAACAAAAACAAATTAATAAATAAAAAAATTAAGAAAAAAAATTACTGGGAATTCCACCATCTAGAAATAACCTTTATGAAAATGTTAGTATCTTTTTTTTCTTTGTAGATACATTATCTCCAGTTTTGTTACCTTCTTTTTTCACCTAACATTATATCATGAATGTCCTTCTATACCATTACACATCCTTCTCCAATGTAACTTTTAATATGTACATAGCATATATTATTTGGATGCGGTTCAGAAATAATTGGGTAAGTGGTTTTTGTTTGGCTTTTACTTTTTTCCTGCATTACTCCTGTCCCATCTTACAATCAGCCAGAAAAACCACGAATCAGCAGTAACACAGAATGAAACAGTAGGTAAACTCAAAGGATCCACTGAGCATTTTTACCTTTCTATCATTGTCACAAGCACCACGGCAATGAATAATACACCCATAGCAGAAGCAGTCCTGAAAACAGAAAGAAATAAAAATTTAGAACACCCACAAATAAGATATTTTAAGATGTATCTAGAGAGAAATAAACCTGGATCATGTAGCCAAGAAGAAGAAATTCCCCTCTTGGGAAGCTGCATATGAAAAGTGCTCAGTGATGGGATGTATGGTAAACTGTTCAGATGGTCCATTGAAAAGTCAACTCAGAAGCTGCAGGAAATGAATGGGCAGAAACATAAAGACTATAATAAGTAGAAGCTGAAGTATAAAGAACTCTATTACTGCACTGCTGAAAGGGACATTTAGGTGGAGGTTAAGGGCATCCCATTCTAAATTCTGTTTCAGTTCTTTGAAAGATACTCTCAATCTTGAACGTTCTCCTTAACTTCAAAGATAGCCAGTACAGTCAGCTGAGTATAAAATAAACAACAAACTAAGAATACTACCAAAGAGATAAAGTCAACAGGCAACAGTGATATTGTAAAAAAGAGGAAAAGGGAGTGAAACTGGATGTCCCTAAAAAGAAAATATATCCATATATATAGATCTATATATAGTCTCTCTCTCCTCTCTCTCTACACACACACATATATATGTATATGTATATATGTATGTATATGTGTGTGTGTATATATATGTATGTATATGTGTGTGTGTATATATATAGCCTAAGTATATACTTTATATATACTATGAAATATACTGTGTATACTATATATACTATACATACTGTATATAAACTATATATACTTTATGTAAATAAAGTATACATACTATATATACTTTACCTAAATTATATAAATTCAATATGTATTTTAAATTTATATAATATTCTATATTCTAATTTATATAATAAATCAGAGTCTGGGGACAGTAAGTACTTTCTAATTTTTAGTTAGACTGAAAAAATCATTTCTTTACTCATCACAGATCAGTGGCTTAACTAAGATTCAGAGTTCCAAGGTCTATTTTCTCAGCTTTTTCAATAAAGTATATAAAAAATTCTAATCCCCTCATGCCAGCATTCTACATCATTAATTTATAGTTAATGTACACTTCCACACTCAATTATTCCTCCAAGTAATTTACCTAACTAAATTGGTCCACTCCATCTAAGCCAATCTCTCTGCAAATTCTGCCTCCATAAAATTCCTCAAGATGGTTGCCCATCTTTCTATTAGTTCCTTCAGCCTAGACCAAAATGAACTTGCCTTCCCCTACTAAGTTATTTATGTTGCCTAAATAATTACACTTGTTTTCATCATTCATATATCAGTCACTTTAAAGAACATGGCTAATTCATATGACCATGGATATATTGCTCTCAAATTATTTTATTCCTGCTTTATGTTTTATGCCTTCTTGATTCCTTGACTGGATTGTAAGTTTCTTGAGGGCAAGCACCATGGCTTCTAATTTTTTTCTGTTTTAAGAAAATGGAAGATTGAGAGAAGAAACAAAAACAATGGCGGGGGAATGATAGGGGGAAAGGGAGAATGAATGAGCAAAGAAGAGAAACAAGCTAAATCTGTGAGATTCTATTTTCTTATATATACAATGAAAATAACGACATGAAGTTGCTCTGTGAAAGTCACATTGATGTGAATAAGTCCAATTCTAATGAGCACTCAATTTAAGATTGTGATCTGGCCCTTTCCCATCCCTGTTCCATGTTCTATTTTTTTCTAATTCTACTTTTTCTAATTGCTATTTTTAATAAGCGATTTTAAATCTAATGACCCATCTGATTAAAATTGCAACCCAGCCCATCTCCCTTACCTGCTTCACTTTTCCTTTTTTATACACTTATCACCTTTAACATACTAAGACATTTCATTACCTGTTGTATATCTTTTCATTTCTGTCTCCCCATCCCTATCCCAACTCCAGGTAAGCTCCATGATGGCAGGTATCGTCGTCTGCTTTGTTCCCTGATGTCGCTCCAGCCCCCCAAGCAGTATCTGACACAGAATAGGTGCTCCCCAAACTCACTGAATGAACAAAGCTCTCTGCAAATGTCATATCAATAGGCCCTGGACTTTCCACAAATACCCACAACAGAGTCAGAGTGACCAGTGAAAACACGGCTCCCTCATTAATGCTGCATCTCAGCATCTTCAACCCCCTAAAAGATGGCTGACCTAGATCCCAACTAGATTAAACACCACGAAAAACTGTTGTTATGGAGAGTCGAGCAGAACTTTACAGAGGACGTGGCAAGTGTGGACTTCACTACAGGCCCCCTGTGGGGCTAGGTGTTAACCAAATAAAATGGTGATAAGGGGTGACAGGTGGCCAATCTGGCTCAGAGACCTTAACTGCTCCCTCCCCACTCAGAATGGAAGCCACAAAGTGCCTATGAAAGGGGACTTGCTGCCCTGGCCAGTTTGGCTCAGCGGTTAGAGCGTTGGCCTGTGGTCCGGAGAGACCCGGGTTCGGTTCCCGCTAAGGGCATGTACCTCGGTTGCAGTTTGTCCCCGGCCCTGGTTGGTCGTGCGGGTGGCAGCCACTTGATGTGTCCCTTTCGCATCGATGTTTCTCTCTCTCTCTCTCTCTCTCTCTTCCTCTCTTTCCCTCCCACTCTACTTGAACAAAAAATGGAAGAATGTCCTCGGGTGAGGATAAAAAAGAAAGAAAGGGGACTTGCTGTCTGAGGAAATCTCTTCAGGCAAGTGTCATATTTCTCCTCCAGCTGGCTGACTTGGTGTAGGCACTCTGCCCCCAACCCAGTTGTCACCCTGTCCTGTGTCTTCTGTTGACGTATTGGATTCAGTAAGCCTCTTTGAGTCACAAACTAATAGTCTTTGGGACCCCTCTGGCTCCACCTCAGTCCCTTGCTTGTCTAGGAGAGAAGTTTATATAGCTTGTAACAGATGTGATTTGCAGACAACCACCTTCAGAAAATGTCTGAAGAACAGAGTCTTGCCATAATCTCAGTAATTTCTCTTAGGGTATCCAGAGCAGTGGAGTCAGAAAATATTGATTCTAATACTGTTTTTACAACTGCAAGATGATTGATCTAAGAAAATCTTGACTCTTTGGACCTCAGCTTCCTATTATTCAAAGTCGGCCGACTTCCCTCTCCAGGCTGTGCGTACAGGCCCCTTTGCCCATCTCTAGAGCTAAGAGGGTTTAACTTGAGCTTTAAAATGTTAGCTCTGTGTCCAATACACTAGCTCAGTCTCAAATGCTAATAATTCGTATGATGTATTGACAAGGCCCAAAGAAAATATCTTCATTACACCTCAGAAAACCTGTGCTTTGGAGTCAGATAGGCCTGAATCCGTTGGTGTAGCAACTGTTCAAGCTTTTGCCATGACCTTAGTTAAGTTACTTTTCCTCATCTATAAAACAAGTAATAAATATTCACAAACTTGTTGTAAGGATTAAAACAGATAATGTATATAAAATGGTTGGCATAGCCTGATATACTTTTGGTGCTTAAGGGCAAATATCTCTTATTATTAATATTAATGCTAGGTATGGTCTAATATATTCTCTACTGAGACCAGTACTGAGGTGAAAAAGACCTGGGTTACTTTCCTTGAAGGCTAGATCTAGATATTTGTTTCCCCAGTAATACAGCAGATGGTAAGTGGTCAATTCTTGTTGTGTGAGTAAATGAATAAATGATTGAACAACAAAATAATAGAAAACACTACAGAGGAAGACAGGAGTCTTAAATGCTTAATTTATTTCCACAACTAATTAAATTACCAAGGACCTGTAGATATTAGATCACTTTAAAGTCCTTTTGGATTTCTAAGCTGAAAGAGTCCCTTTTGGCTCTGACGCTGTCTGAGTCTGACATTACTTTAAAAGGTGTAAAGTAAACATGAGGAAATAAAGGAAACTCTTACTCTATCTCTGAGACCTGTTGTTATGGACTGAGTTATGTCCCCCCCCATCACATGTTGAAACCTTGACCTCTAATATGACTATATTTACAGATGGAGCTTTTACGGAAATAATTAAGGTTTAAACGAGGTCATAAGGGTGGGGCCCTAATCCAACAGAATTAGTGTCCTTTTAAGAAGAGACACCAGAGAGCTTGCTGTCTCTGCCATATGAGGATACAAGGGGAAGGCGGCAGTCTCCAAGCCAGAAGAGAGCCTCCCCAAAAGAACATTGGCAACTTCATCTGGGATTCCCCAGCCACCGGAACGGATAGAAAATTAAGTTTCCCTTGTTTAAGCCACCCAGTCTATGGGATATTTTTATGGCAGCCTGAGATGACTAAGACACTTGTTATATGCCCTATTCATTAGAAATATCCAACCCTACATTCAGAATTCTCTAAGAATATCATTTTTAATCTCCACTCCAAGCCCCTAAAAATTTTATACCAGATGCTCCTTAAATGAATTTACTCTATCACAACAGCAAATTGATAATTCTAATAAACTACTCATTGGGTTGAATTTATAAACACTTTACAACTATGCTTTAGAACATTACCAGTTTGAAAAGCTGATATCCTTTACTCTCTCGTTTATTTGACATTTACTGAGCAAATTTCATATTTGTAAATAAATTACTCAATGCGAAATCCCTAAGATAATAAAGCAAATTTGCTGACCAATTTATCCCAAAAAATCCAGTCTGTCATAGTGGGAAGAATGGGAAATTCCTTCATGTAATGAAGAAAAACAATGGCTTCTGACAACTCAAAGAACAGCTAGGGTTGGGCATGGTTTCCTAGTGGAGAAGAAATTCCTGAATAGACAGGTCTTACTGGGGCGATTCGTGTACATTCTTCTCATGTACCGCTCAATACGGTAGCTACCAGCCATTGTGGACACAGAGCAGTGGAAATGTGGTTAGTCCAAATGAGATGAGCTGTAGGTAAAATATCTCATTGATAATTTTCACATTCATTATATGTTAAAATAATATTTTAGATATATTAAGATAAATAATATATTATTAAAATTAAGTTCACCCTTTTTTACTCTTTAAATGTGGCTTCTAGAAAATTTAAATTTACATATGTGGATGACATTGTATTTCTAACGCATAGGGCTGTTCTAATTAATTCCTTGTCACATCTGAAAGTCTAGTCAGATAAAGCAAAGTACAAGGCAGAGACTAAATATGACCAACAGGTATGTTTTATTTGGTGTACAAAATTGAAACAATTTTGAATTAATTGGCACTGTTTCAACACTGATAGATTTCAAATCAAAATGCAGGTTT